TCTAGTCCACTCGCTGCAGAGATGTTCGTATGATGTTGCTCTATCGAGTTGTTGCTTTTCAGCCGGGCCCATTCAGGCGGGCCCCTATATCGAGTTGTTGCTGATCAGGCGGACCCATTCAGGCAGGCCCCTATATCGAGTTGTTGTTGTTCAGCCGGGCCCATTCAGGCGGGCTCCTATACTGAGTTGATTGCTGTTCAGTTGGGCCCATTCATGCGGGCCCCTATATTGAGTTGGTTGCCATCAGTTTGGCTAAAGGGTCTATTGAGGTGCTGTCCTCTTTGACCCTATCGAGTTGGGTTATTTTCCTGGGCTATTGATATCCCCCTTATCTCCAGGACATCATTGCTTGGCATAGCAGCTTGCCATGGGCATTCCATATTATTTTGCAGATTGGTCAAGCTGGCTTCTCAACATGAGACAAACCCTACATGGGGTAAGTTGGTTGAGAAGTTCTGCTATCGACACATTGGGCATCAGAGCTTCGTCATTCGGGCCAATGAGTCTACCACATCGAGGTACACATTGTTGATCACTTATCACGTGAGAGATGTTGGGCAGGGAGTGAAGGGAACCACCTATGACTGGATTGCTCACTATATCTTCCGCAGGGAGAGTTACTGGAGGGAACACTGGTTACATGTGGTGTTTCCCCATATCCCCTTTGCACCAGGTGGTGCCCTCTATGACTTTGACGACTGTAATCCTAAACCTCTGAGCAGAGGTGGCAGCAAGGAGAAGAGGCGTCAAGATAGGAGGATCAGGAGCGAGGTGGCCAGATTTGGGATACCTATCACCACCCGTCTACAGAGGTCAGAGACGGACGAGTCAGACCAAGAGCCTTGCTGCGTGAACGATGTTGACCTGGGGGACTATTTTGACTGGGATACTCACAGGGACTGAGTACGCTTGAGTTTGGAGTAGGCCCAAAGCATCTTATGACATTGGTCACTGGAGCGAGACGCAGGCGGAAAGCAGCCCTATGACAGGTTGCTTATCTCTTGGCACGATACTTGCTTGAGGGTGATTAACCCCAGGCATTACATGTCAGGAGGACCAAGGTCAGAGGAGGTAGTCGGCCCTTCAAGGGGGAAGGGACCAGTCCCATATCTTGGGGATGACTACAGTCATTTGGTGGGAGCAGACTTCGTCATACAGGCTTTTCGGAAGCCTCTCTAGGGTGTCTTAGCCATACCTGAAGCAGAGGAGAAAGTGTATGTGTTAGTAACTCGCTTCCTAGAGACTGGCGAGTATGACGTGCGAATATACACTCCAGTGACTAGAAAAATCTTGCGGCGGTGTACTGGGTGTCACGAGTGGGCACTCGGACACGTCTGCAAATACAGGAACGAACTCAAGAAGGAAGGTAAGAAAGTTACCTGGAGTGTGGAGCCAACTGAGTATGAGAATTTCCCAAGTCCTCCTATTCCGAAAAACATCGTCAACGGTGAGGACTGGGAGCCTATCCTTAATGCTGTTTTGAGAGATAGGAAGTGGAGCAGTGTCAACATTGACGATTCGGGTCGGAAGACTTAGTAGGTACACGATGGGATTAGACGGATCGAAAATAAAGATGGATCATGGGGTCGCTAGAGGCTAGGCAATATCTGGATACTGCCCAAGGATTACGGCGACACTAGACGCCTTAGTTCCTTTACTAGACGAGGAGTTTTTCCCTACAAGATAGAGCGCTGCATATCCCTGGGGGAGAGGCATGCACCTGGGAAGGCGTATGTCCTTGTAGTGAAGTTGCTTGACACTGGTGAATACGATATCCGGCCCTACGTTCCCTTATTGAGAGAGAAAGGGACAGATCGTGAGTCTCTTCGAAGTTCGATTAGTAATATAGTTAACCAAGAGAAGAAGGAGTTAGAAAGAAAAGGGATAAGAGTAGTTAGTGACTTAACACCGAAGTAGGAGCATAATCGGTAAACTAGACAGGATGGTCAAAGGACTGAACACACGGCAGAGTCGTGCAAGTTCCTCTGCTGGGGATTGAGAAGTGACCACTACCGTGGTTTTTCGAGAGATGTTGAACAGAATAGAGGCCATGAAGACCGGGATGGATTCTATGAATGTCCGTCTACACCTTCCAAGAGCTAAGGTACCTCCTGAAAACATACCCTGCTTTAATGGAACCAAAGTTAGGGAGTTCCTTGAAGACTATGATGTCTTCGGTATGAGCCATGGTTGGTCGGATAAACAAAAGTTGAAAGCTCTGCTAGCGTATGTCGAACCTAAGATGAGGGTGTCGATAACAAAAACGACACAAGGACTGACAACATGGACGGACGTAAGGCAAAAGATGCTGGAAGAGTACGCTAAGTATGACGTCCCAACAACCATGCAAAATTTGTTAGACGTACGACGCTCCAAGTACGCTACCCTCGATTAATTCCTAGAGGATTTTGAGAGGGTTGCGCGGAGAGTACCCTTCCTAGACGAGGCCCAAAAATGTCATGTCCTACTGACTAACTTCGCAGAGGACGAAAGGAAGAGTGTGGTAAGTCGCGCTGCCCATTATCCTCTAAAGTGGGATGAAGTAGTTGAGATGGTCCGTGAGTTGCCTTCAGTGTCCAACAGAAAATGGTCTTTGGAACAGATGAAGGCAATCACTAGTGCGAGAGAAGGAAATGTTGAGGCAACTACGGGAGGAAACTTGAAGGTCAAAGAGATCCTTGGTCTTCTCGTAAAGCTTGGTAGCTTTGAGAAGTTAACCCTTCCTGCCCCAGCAACTCAAGCACTTGTTGGAGCCGAAGAAGGTAAGGAAGAAAGAAAGAAGGAGAAGCAAAAGGAAGAAAGTGAAAGTGAGAGTGAAAGTAGTGACGACGATGATGCTAGGCAAGGGAGAAAGGAAAGAAGGAAGAAATGGGAAAAGAAGCGTGATCGGGATTGGAAGAAAGATAATAAGACTCGAGATTGGGAAAAGAGAGATGACCCTTTCCGATGTTATTATTGTGACGAGAAAGGTCATACTCTAACCCGATGCCCGACATTAGGGAAAGAGCTTGAAGAAGGGATTGTCAAGAAGAACGCCAATGGGCACATATGTGATGCCAACTAGAATAAGGTAGATTTCGGAGTCAAAGGAGGAATGCGAGCAGTTATCCTAGAAAAGGCTAAGGCCAATAAGGATAACAAGAAGAAGGCTACTGTTAATGTTGTCACCTTTGACGGTATGCTACCTCTGGAGATAGTGACTCGAGACGGCAATCCTGGAAACCAAGACCTGAATGTATCCCATATCAGCCCTAGAGAGGTTGAGGAGAAGAAGCGGGAGAAGGCTCAAAAGTGCTAGACCAGCTGATTGGTGGGACCAACGAACTAGTGAAGGAAGGGAAAGGAAAGGAAGCTGCCGGAAAAAAGAGGAAGGTGGTTTTGAGATCCGAGGCCGAGGAGGGTGTCTCGATAGATGAAGTAGTAAAGAAACTACTTGAAGAAACTGAGATCACCCTATCTTGGAAGGAGGCAGTAGCCTTGGTGCCAAAGTTTAGAGAAAAACTTAAAAAGATGGTTGAAAGGCGGAAGGTAGAAATCAATAGCCTAAGACTCTCCCCTCAACATGTGGAAAGAGCCTCGTCTGGTACCAAGATGAGGTTTGGTAACATGTCGTGCTGGTACTCCGTAAACGACGTGAAGGTTAGAGCCCTAGTGGACTCTGGGGCTGAGATGATGCTTATATCCTCGGCCACGATGAGATCATGTGGGCTTGGAATAGATAGGAAAGTCAATCACCAACTGTCCAATATAGCCAGATTTCTGTCATTGGAAGGATTCATTGATGATCTGTCTATTCGAATTGGAACTTTACAGGCCGAGATCCTCTGTTTTGTGGTCCCCAACTTGGATCATGACTGCATTCTCGGAGCCCCTTTCCTACATAGAATGGAGGCTTGTGCGTTCTTTGGTCATGATGGGGCGGCTTGACTTTCGCTCCAGGATCCTAACAATGGTGAAGAACAGACTTTTGTGATAAGTGACATGCATCATCCTCGTCATCAGCGACATGTTCATTCTCTTAAGCATGAAGAATCTGACAAGTTGATTGAGGAAGTACCAGCAAAGCTGAAAGAAAGTGGGATAGTAGACGAGAAGACCACGATTAAATTAAATGATATCGGTAAGATGCTCAAGCTCCTAGACAAAGAGAAGGAGTTGGGCGATAAGAGAGAGATGGAAGGATTCAAGGAAGCTGTGAGGGCGGCAAAAGCTGGCACGATGTAGCTTACCTTCTCTGCAACTGGGCCTTTTTTAGGAAAATAGTCACCGGGTCCAAGAGGAAGTATAAGCGCAAGGGCGTTAAGAAGAATCCGGTGGCAGTCTTGATAGAAAAGGACTATAATGAAGCATTAGAGAAGGAAAGGAAGATAATTAAAGGGTTAAGAGAGGCTGCATCAAAAGGGGGAAGGATTACCCCAGAGAGGTTCAAGATAATGAAGGTAGGAGCCGATGACCTCCTCCTGCCGGCTGAGAGGGATTTCATATGTGAATTATGTCAGAAGTACAGTGGTGCCTTTTCCTTTAACGATGAGGAGAGGGGACGACTGGACGTTGACATGATCAAGATGGTCAAGATTTGGACCGTTCCTCACACGCTTTGGAATGATAGACCTACGAAATATGCTTAAAAGGAGGAAAAAAAGGTAATGAAGTACATAAACCAGAAAATCGCCTCCAACGTTGCAGAACCGACAGATGGCGCTTATGCCAATCAATGGTTTTGTTTTTGGAATCCGGGTGGTAGCTTGCGCTGGATACAAAACTTGCAAAAGTTGAATTCGGTAACTGTTCGTGATGCGGGTAGTTTACCGAACGCGGATCTACTGGCCGAGTCTTTCGCAGGAAGGAGCATTTACTTCCTAGTAGACTTATACTCTGGCTATGACCAGTTCCCCATAGATCCTACTAGTCGACCTATGACCGCCATGCACACACCTAGAGGCCTCATACAAATGTGTGTGGTGCCTCAAGGGTGGACGAATGGGGTCGCGGTCGTCCAGCGAGACATGCTGACGGTCACGGAGGACATATGCCCAAAGGTCACGTTCCCATACATCGATGGCAATCCGGTTAAAGGACCGAAAGAAAATGACGAGACCTTAGTGGACGTGCGAGTTAGGCGATTCGTGTGGGAACATCTGCAGGGAGTTGCGAAAGCACTAGAAAGGTTGGCTAAGTACAACCTTACGGCCAGCGGACCGAAATCACTACTGTTTCATAGGGAGGTCACGATCTTGGGTTTCAGGTGCTTCTTGGAAGGGAGAAGCCCCGATCCTAAGAAGGCGGACAAAATCCTGAACTGGCGTATGCCTCTAAGGACGGTTGGGGAAGTAAGGAGTTTCCTGGGGGTCTGCAGCTTCTGGCGAATCTTCATTCCCGGGTTTGCCAGGATAGCAGAACCTCTTAGAGAAATGGTGCGACAAGGAGCTAGTTTAGGGTGGTCTGACCAAAGAGAGAAGGTTGCGCGGACACTTCAAGATAAGTTAAGAGATGGCGGGGTCGTACTAGGAGTACCTTACTTCGATGATGAAAGGGCGAGACCCTTCACCATTGAAGCCGACGACGGCCCGATAGCATTAGGAGGAGTGTTCGTGCAGCGAGATGAGAATGGTAAAGAAAGGCCACTTAGATTTGAGAGTCGCACCCTTAATTCGGTTGAGAGAGGCTATATCCAGTTTAGGAAGGAGCTTCTGGCAATCCTGCACTGTCTCAGAGTGTTCAAACACTACATTATGGGACGAAGATTCATCCTAAGAACAGGTTCCACGACAGTTATTGGTGTTGTTAAGAGACATCAGCAAGTAGATACTACGGTAAGTAGGTGGATAGCTCATATATGGACGTATGATTCTATATTAGAAAAGGTACCTACTGATAAGAATCGAGCTGATGGGTTAAGCCGCGTGGAATGGGGATCGATAGATGACGAATCTCTTGAGGAGGCGCCCTTCGTTGACGAATTCCTTATGGGGGATGATGATGAAGGGCTACCTCCTGCTCCCAGTTGTTATACGGCCTCAGCCATGGCAACCAGTAGAGAAAGACTGCTGGGGTGAGAAAGAAGATCCCTACCTCCACTACCTCTTGATTCAAGAGGATGAGGAAGAAGGGTGGTATGGGATGGTAGAGCAGACTGCAATTGCAGCTCATGAGCTGGCTGAGAGTTCAAAAATGGTTGAGCGTCGATTGAATGAGATAAAGGATGGGTCACAAGATTTAGAACAGAGTAAGGATGATGAGGGAAGGTTTAGAGAGGAAGAATATGATGGAGAGTATAAGAGGATCGGTATGGTGATGCGTAGTAATCACTTGAACGAGTTCTACCATGAGAGAACAAAGAGGAACTTTAGACTACGTAGGGGTCACCTTTTTGTGGATGCTAAGGAAGGACTACCGCCGCTGAGAGTGGTGTGTGGTAGAGAAAGACGACTAGAGGTGATCGTCGCGCTGCATGAAGGTCTAGCAGGGGGTCATAGGGGAGTTGATGCTACATACTATAAAGTATCTCGACTATATCACTGGGATGGTCTGAGGGATATGGTTATGAGATATTGTAAGTCATGTGAAGCCTGTTAGAAAATGCCATCTATGAGACCAATTGAACTTTTAAACCCCACTGCTCTTGTTGAGCCTGGTAGTACTGTTCACCTTGATCTAATTACTATGCCACCTGGTAAGGATGGAATGAAATATATAGTAAATATAAGAGATAATATGTCTGGTTATGTTGAAGCAAAAGCCATCCGTAAGAAAACAGCAAGAACAGTGGCAGATTGGATCGAGGAAATCTACCTAAGGTACCCCTTCATACGTGAGTTTGTGGCTGATCGGGGATCAGAATTCAAGAATGAGATGGTCAGAAAGCTCATGTTCAGACTTGGAGTCAGAGTCAGATTTGTAACACCATATCATCCTCAAGCTAATGCACCAGTGGAAAGAGGTCACATGACTCTAAAAGATGCTATATCAAAATGGTGCCGAGGTGATTCCAGAAACTGTCCATCCTTCTTGAGAGCGGTTGTCTATGCTGACAACGTGACTGTCAAACGGGCTACAAGTTATGCACCTGTTACACTCTGGTACGACCGGTATGCTACTTCTCCCATTGAGAGTCTGGTTGAGACCTGGACCCATGAGGCACAGAGAGAGTCATACTTCACAGAGGAGTTGCTGAGACTAAGGATCAGGCAGATCAAGGAAGTGGATGAGGCCATAATCGAGGCCACAAAGAGGATGTCAGACAGCAGGTTATCTGACTAGACACGATGGAACAACAACAGATACATCAAGAAGGAACGACGTCAGGTGGGGGATATTGTACTTCTTCATGATACATCTCTCGAGACGCAGTGGACCAAGAGATTGGAGGCCAGGTGGATGGGACCTTTCATGATCATCAGAGAGGTTGAAGGCAAGGCCTATGAGTTAGTAGAGATGGATGGAACGAAATCTCATGGTATAATATCCAGCTCCCGGCTTCGAAAATTCATACTCAGAGATGCAGATTTGATTATGAGTTCACACAAAATGATGGGGCGAGGCCCGAGAGCCGTCTAGCATCGGCCTGAACATGCTGGGTCGTGGCTAGTGTCCCCTCAGCATTGGTTGGAACGTGGTCAGTGTGCCACCAACCGTGGGGTCATTATGTGCTGGGATATGGCCAGTGTGCTGCCAGCTCCAGACGATGATTATATGCTGGGACGTGGACAATGTGCCACTAGCTTTAGACGATGATTATATGTTGGGACGTGGACAGTGTTGCCGCCAGCTACAGATGTTGATTATATGCTGGGACGTGGACAGTGTTGCCGCCAGCTACAGATGATGACGATATGCTGGGACGCGGATAGTTTTGCCGCCAACTACAAATGTTGATTATATGCTGGGACGTGGATAGTGTTGCCGCCAGCTACAAATGATGATTGTAGGCTGGGACGTGGACAGTGTGCCGCCAGCAACTGATGATTATAGGCTGGGACGTGGACAGTATGCCGCCAACTACTGATGATGATATGCAGGGACGTGACCAGTGTGCCGCCAGCTATTGATGATGATTATGTGCTGGGACTTGGCCAGTGAGCCGCCAGCTATAGATGATGATTATACGCTGGGACGTGGCCCGTATGCCACCAGCTGCAGCTGACAGTCGGCTCGCTATGATTATGGTATGATTTCGGATGGCGGAGCTGGATACGAGCAGCCTATGATGGCTCGACTCGATGGTGGACTCATGTGTCTACCGGGCCGAGATTGGCCCCAGTTTTGTATGAATGTAAGTTAAAATTTTAAATTTCAATTCACTGCATTGTATCTGGTTTGTCACGTGTCAGTCCTGGGATATGCCTGGGGGATTGGGAGGCAGTTCTTGGGATTTCAGTTCTTGCCTCTTATTGTATTTTATTGGTCTGCATGGCATTGTGGAATGAATGGCTGTGAGATAATGTGAAAATATGTTTTCTTCCTCTCATAAGTCAGCGCTCAATCGATGGGGCAACCTCATAGTACGATAGTGTAAGGAGGATTACCTAGCATCATCTGACACAAGTTGATTGGTAATTCCTGAAAGAGGGTGGTACTTAACCTAGTGAAGTGTTCCAGTGGCAAGGGACTCAGCATCATCGGATGGGGTTCCTCTCCAGATGGGCCTTCGCGGTTAGACACTGCCGAGCTCTTATGGGATAGGTAGTCAGTCATGCGTCATTGTCGATGGAGTGATTTGTCCGATCTTGTGGTCGGGGCGAAGATCACTCAGTATCGTAGCGGTTTGGAGCTTGCTGCATTCTTCGTGATGGAAGGAGTGTTCCCATTGCAGCCGCCGGGTTCTCGCAACGGTTCACCGACGAGAATCTAACCACAGTGGCGTCCTCTGCGGTGTCAGCACTTATGTCCTTCATGAAGAGGCAGAGAGTTTCAACTGCGCCTCTTGAGCAAGAGATGATTCCCTGAAGCAGGTTCTCACAGGTCCAGAGGCTAGCTGGGTTGACGGGGCGTCCGAGCTATAGCGGCTGATAGCCTCGAATCCTCGGGTGGTTAGCTGTTCCCAGGTCACCGCGTGGTGACCTGGTCCACCTGCTGGAAAGGAAGGAGTCATCCCGAGCCTCTCCCAGTCTATATCCGACAATTGGCTGATCAAGGTGGTAGACTCCTACTATCACTATGATCGGGGTGTTTCTAGGGAGCCGTGTCTCTAGGAGCATTCCCTTGGCATCGGGCCAAGTCAGGTATCCACTACCCAGCTGGCAACAGGGCCATTATGGCCTCCTAGCCCATTGTTGCAAAGCTTAATTGTGGACTCGCTTTGACTCACCAGCCAGGTCTGGTCGGGTGTTGGCTGGCTCCCCGCACAGTTGCAAAGAGCCGGACGTTAGTCAAGAAGTCCCCCGTGAGCTGTTCTGAGCAAGGGCTCAGAGCGGGGTCGGACCGCCGTGACTGGGAATCAGGACTGACTTTTCTCTGCTTGCCGGGTTGGGTCAGCGGAGGAGCCCACCAGGGCGAGCAGGGGCACTCTTGGAAGGCCGAAAGGTAAGGGGGGTTGGCAAGGGTCTTTAGGGGAGACCCTTTTCTCGTATTTCTTTTGGCATGACATGATCTATGTTTTGCAGGTACCCTACAGCCAAACGAAGATAACGGGGTTTGGTATGACCCAACAGTAAGTGGCGCAGAGCCAGCAGACAAAGAGAAAGGGGTTTGGTATGTTTCCCCCTTATGAGGCGGCTTTTGGTCAAGATGACCCAGATGATCATGAGTTCGATGATCAGTCCCATATCCACCCGTGGCTCGACTGTAACTAAGATAATGATGAGGATTATGTTGTGCTGATGAGACGGACTGATCTGATGAGGTTGAGATGAGCAGGCCAGGACTTAGACTTGGACTGCTAGGCCAAACCTAACGATAAGGCTTGGTCTAGGATTGGGTCTGATTGTGATGATGCACGAGGTTTAACCTTATGAGAGGTTTGACCTAAGATTGAGACTGATTCAGTAGTGCAAGAAAACGGGATTGGTAGTATGATTGGGCTGCATGAGCGGTCATTATATTTGCGTGTGGTGACTGCACCACGCAAGCTTGATGAGACTAATCCTTCTTTGATTTTGATGGTGGCTTGGACCAAAGGTCCATGCCTTATTGAGTGAGCACTCGAGCCCTAGCGGGGGAACACTTTGATGATTGAGATATGGTTTATATGATGCCTCTATATATAAGATAGCATATGAGGCCACACAGTTCAAGCTGGCATATGAAGAATAGCGCAAGTATGACGCACGAGCGATGATTGGGCGGCGCAGTCTGGCAAACGACGGGCGGATCTGGTGGTGGCGCAGGGCGAGGCGGCTGTGGCAGGATGGTGAGCTGGCGAGGGTGAGGCTGATCAGAAGAAGAAGAAGGACGATATGGCGAAGGATACGATCGAGAGGGCGGCTCGAAACGTGGAGGCGGGCTGCCATAGCGCTGCTCGTATTTATATGTATACTACATCATGGACCTAGGCGACGGAGTGCGACCGCGCCGGTCCTCTGAGCGATGGCGCAAGCGCGTTCCTTCCCATCTCTCCTCCTCCTCCTCTTCGGATCTCTCCTCCTCGTATGTCAGATCGATTGGTCGATCTTGTGCCGTCCCCTGTCGGCCTCCTCTCCCACGTCCAGTGTTCGAACCTCGCGTCTTTGGCGCCATGGCAAAGGCTGATTAGCTGCACGACGGTAAGCGACAGCGCGGCAAGAGCGCAAGCTAGTTGAGATCGATGAAAGCAGTGGCAGTCGCGAGAGCGTAATAGCGCAGCACATTTAACAATGCGAGCTGTAATGAGAATGATGAGAGTAAGTAAGCTATTAGGCTCTTTATAGTAGGGGGATCCTGGCGGGGACGCCAGAAATGGGGTTTGGTATGGTTGTTGGACAGCAGCGCGCCGCGTCAACGTATAGTTGACTCGTCGCGGCCAGCCTCCGCACCGTAGGACTGCATATGGTCACGATCAGCAAAATGTTAACACGCTGGTTGGCCCTTGGGTCGAGTCAGCGGGCAAGACGGCGCGACGGTCCAGTCCCATGGAGATCGAATAACGGTTTTTGGGCTGAACCGCCGCGTCTGCAAGGATCAGATTAGTAGGGCCTGGTCCGAACGGTACTGAAAACGGACCAAGGGTTAGTGAGAAAAATAGACTTGACCACTTGGGACCGGACTTACCGCGTCAGGGAGAATACGGCCCGAAATGGTCAAGGGGGAATACGGGATTGGGCCCCTTATTATGATTAAGAGGGGTGTTTTTATTTTTAAAACAAGGCCGACCCTTAGTATTCCAAAGTCGGGCCAGCCCAAGCCCGACGCTAATTTTAAGCATTGGTCCGTGCTATTTTTAGCGTTGGCCACGCTATTTTTGGCGCAGGCCTGAGTTATTTTTAGAGCAGGCTCGAGCTAAATATAGCGCAGGCCCACGCTATTTTTAGAATGGGCTGACTGTTCGTATCCCAAGGTCGGGGCTGTCCCAAGTCCCGCGCTATTTTTAGCCAAGTCCCCCGCTAATTTTAGCGCAGTCCCACGCTAATTTTAGCACAGGCCCGCGCTATATTTAGCGCAGGCCCGTGCTATATTTAGCGCAGGCCCGTGCTATTTTAAACACGGGACTTACTGTTCGTGTCCCAAAGTCGGGACTGGGACTCCCGCGCTAATTTTAGCGTAGTTCCACGCTAATTTTAGCACAGGCCCGCACTATATTTAACGCACGCCCGTGCTATTTTTAACACGGGACTGACTGTTCGTGTCCCAAAGTCGGGATTGTCCCAGTCCCGCGCTAATTTTAGCGCAGGCCTATGCTAATTTTAGCATAGGTCTGTGCTATTTTGAGCCCTAGGACTGCTGTACTTGGGTCCGACAACCTGGCGTCTCCACTATAAAAAAGAGGCCGTAACACTCGAGAAGAGAGAGAGGCCCTCACTTGCGGGAATGCGGAAGTGCTGGCGGAACGGTGGACCAGAGCTGCAGCGCTGGAGCCAGTAAGAGAAAGAGAAGGACCAAGGCAAGCGAGACAGAGGTAAAGGGGTAGATCAGCAAAGGGGAGTAAGGTGGTCCTGGTTCTCACTAGGGTCATAGCCCTTTCCCTTGTCTCTCCTCCTATCTCTCTCTCTCCTCCTTTCTTTCCCTCTCTTCATTCCCCTCTCTTTGCTCGCTTCTGTCATTCCCCGTAGTCAGGCGGGTCATTTATGGATGGACCCCCATTTTAATTTTTATTTCACTTTATTTTATGATCGCAACCTTGCATTTTCGGTGTGCACCATTACCGCATCAGAGTTACCGTATGCCTA